ATATTTTTTTTTTAAAGTCTTTTAAGAAAATAGATAGCTTCAGCTACACTGCGGTATATCACATCACGTGATTGCGCGCGCAGTCGATGAATTGTAAGCTTGTAAAAAGAACGCCTTGCATAACAACTTCTAATTTGTAATGGATAAAAAATTCGAACAATGAATTTGTATTAAATTTAGCTTCAAAATTGGGAAATTGGCTTCAGAAACTTTAGATTCGTTGAAATTGGCATTTGGAAATGAAAATGTAAATGAACCTATCACATTTAGATGGTTTTCACGATATAAAATGGAATGGAATCGGTGAAATATGAGAAGCGTGTTGGATGACCAATTCTGCACAGGAACCCTGAAAAGGTGAGCCAAATTTCAAATTTGATAAAAGATAATCCACGAATAGGGTTACGGGACATTGAGGAAGAAACAGAGATATCAAAATCATTAGTTGGATCAATAATGGATCAATGCTTGAAATGATGGAAGAAAACCCTGATTGGAAGGAAAAAGTAATAACTGGAGACGAGACATGGGTTTACGGGTATGACTCCGAAACAAAACGCCAATCTATGAAGTGGAAAGGAAAAGATGAACCAAGAACGAAGAAATCCCGACTTTGCAAGTCAAAAAACAAAGTCTTATTGGTCACGTTCTTTGACATAAAGGGAATTGTGCATTATGAATATCTAGAGGAAGTTCAAACAATCAATAAGGAGTCTTATTCAAACATTATGCGACGTGTACGAGAATCAATTCGCCTGAAAAGAAGTGAAATGTGGAGTTCCAAAAATTGGATTATCCATCATGATAATGCACCACCACACACCGCTACATCTGTACTGACTTATTTGGCTAAACACGGCATCCAAATACTTCAACAACCTCCCTATTCTCCCGATCTAGCTCCAAATGAATTTTCCTCTTTCCGAAATTCAAAATGGTTCTAAAAGGAAGGAGATTTGACACTAGAGAGTCCATAATAGCGGATTCGAAAAAGATCTTAAAGAACATCCCGAAAGATGCCTTTTCTAAATGTTTTAAATCATGGAAGAAGAGATGGAAATTATGTATAGATGCGGGAGGGGACTATTTCGAAAAATATTAATAATTATTTTTTAATCATTCTATTTTTCTTCATTTTTGACCAGTCTCATTATTTATTGGACACACCTTGTAGATAGATTTCACGTTAAATATACAGCCATTTCGCTAAGTAATATCTTAATTGCTCCTAGAAATTTTCTTTTATAGCTTCATATTCACCAGCAATAATTTTCATCCCACAGTGCTTGGCTTATCTTAGCTAGGAATCTTAGACCAAAGTTTTCAATCATTTTTTTTTTCATTATGAATTTTTTCTTTTAATATTACTTCAATCGTCTTATTTCTACATCATTTTTCATTTTATATATCACCACACACACAGAAATATTTTGTAGAATATCAACATTACCGGAATTTTTATTTTTTGGTTCACTTGTTTCTCTTTAGATCAAGTTGAGTTGTTTTTATTTGCAAATTTTTCTTGGTTCACAATTGTGTGTAGAATTAATAATAAAGTTTATTTTTTAGGCCTTTTCACATATCAATTAATTTTATTTTTTGTTTGCGTTTTATCACGTTCGAGAGTAATTTCCTTTTTTTTTTCTTAACATTCATTCGGACAGAACACTCGGCGACAAGTGACAATATCTGGGCATCATTTTTAATGTATGAAATATATACAACACAGGAAAATTCATGTATCTTCACCACTTTATATATTTATTGATGTTTATGAAGCAAAATAAATATCTTCCAATATAACCAATGAAACATATTTCTTGGAATAGAAATAATCGAGAAAAATTCGAAATATTTGAAAAGGTTTGATAGAATAAATAATGATTCAACTTTCTAGATTATTCTTAGAGTTTCATAGAATACGGACTTTTATTTTTAAAACAACAAACCACATGTTTGACCTTTTCAAATTTTTACTAAGATACAGCTTCAACAATGCGGAGAAAAATAGATTTATATATGAATCCTTTAATTAGATATTTTTCAGTTATACGATATTAAACGTTTTATAAAAATAAATTTAATCTCATAACACACAATTAAATTATAAAACTATATTTTATGCTTAATTCGAGTGAACAATTTGAAGGTATAAATGTATACCTAGTAAAAGCAGATGGCCAAACAGATGCATACCTCTGATTCTAGTTTTATCAAGTTTCGTATATACATATGTTAACTCACATTGATATATTCATTTGATTAATCGAAAAAATATTTAATCACAATGCCCGAAACATTCAATTTTGGTAGCATTGATGGATGACATTCTGTCCAAGGAAGGAATCAGGAAGTTATTGTAGCGTAAAGTGTACTGGCATTTACATACATATAAAATAATGTTGACCAAGGTAAATATGCAATTTCGATTTACTACTGCTAGGTGTGAGTTAGACGTCCAACCAGGATGTGGTCCCTCAGTTGCTTTGGAACCTCTCTCCATATATGTGAGAAAGTTGGATATATACATAATTACACCAACATATGCAAATATTTAAAAATTTCTTCCTAATTTATTCCTTTATTTCATAATTATCGGTCATTCTGTGTGTGTACATGGCGACAAGAAATATTTAGAATTATATAAAGGCTAAATTTTTCAATAATTATTTTATACACATTTTTAAAAAATACTGAAAAAAAAATATATATATAGTCGTTAAATATATATAGTAATGAGAATAAATCATTAACAAATTTTAGAATGGACACTTTTTTCGTGATTTAAAAAAATGCTCCAATGGTCCCCGATTCTCGCAAAAGTTTAACCCCACCAGCGAGTGCAAGTAAATAAACAGGGCTCTGGCACATTTGCAAGTGCAAAGTCGAACTGCTTATCACATGTGTAAACATGTGGTGCACTTACAGTAAAAGCAGTCGCCTACTTCTACCTACCATGATTATCATGGTCTGTATTACGTGTACTAGGGATAAGCAAAAAGAAAATACTTATATATTTATTAAAATATTAAGAATACTGTGTGTAATTATTTTTTTATATATGAAAATCATACACTTCTACAGGTATGTTATAAAACAATTTAGATGATAATAATGGCGATTTTAAATGTTTTAGAACATCCTTGTATTGAACCAGTCGAATCTAGATAAAAGAACGGACGAAACCCCTGGGAGGTTTTTAACACTGATGGGCAAGTCTCTCCTATTATTTTATTTTTGCAGTAAAGGCAGTAGAAAATTGTTCCATAAAAAAAAAACATTGTGTAAATTTCTTATGAGAACCTCTCAAATATATGTATATCGTAATTTAAACAATGTGATATGTAAGTAATAAATTATGGCGTCTTTTATAGTCGTCTCAAAGTAACACCAGCTTGCCAACGGACACCCGGGGATCCAGGGAGCGACAAAAAAGGGGCATTGGTCCGGATGTTGACAGTTTGTTAGGTTACAGTGAATATTTCGGACAGGGCCCGCTCAGTACTAGGTTGGTGGCTCTTCTCTGCCCCCGCGGCTTCATGCAGGACGCCGAGCTTTCCTCAGTTAATCCTCAACTTTCCCCTGGTCCTGGTGCCACTTGAGACGCCCTGGGAGAGCGTCTTTTGATCCCAAACTTTGTCTTTACTGTCCCGTGCGGACTTCCCACTCTGCACGCCTTGCCACTCAACCCCGACTGCTTCCAACTCACTTGTTGTCTTACCCGGGTTTACGACATGTATATAGAGATAGTGCTGATTTATCCTAAAATATTCTCGCGATTGGAAGTTGTCATTTTTTAGACAAGTATCTCATCGACTGTTGAATAAGTCTTCATTGAGAAAACAACACTAATATTCTTAGATAAGGTGTGTGTCCAGAATATTGAAAAAATCCTCACATAGGAAATATTATACAAAATAATCTCCCATTTTTATCAATACAGCTATCTGTGAAAGAGAAAAATGGATAAAACCACGTGGGTATGTGTTGCTATTTGTGCAAATATTTTCAAAAGGGGTTCCAAGAAGCCCCCAACTGAGAAGGCGTGTTTCTAAAAATAGAGATATTTCAGGTTTTGCCTGAATGGGATCATTTCCGTGAAGATAACGATATAACGAGGTATTGAAAATTAAGAGAAGTATTTAGGATTAGGAAAAAGCACTCCAAAAAGAGCCATTTACTTGTAAAAAGAAGAGGCTGCGACGAATAGCCCTTACAAACCACCAGAGGTTCATTAGGCGACATTGAGAGGATTGGCTTCTTTCACAGCTTCTCAACAGCTTATTAAAATCGTGTCTAATTAGCCTTTGCCAAATACGAACAACTGCCTCATCATCGGCTATTCAGTCCGCTATTCACAGCCTGGACGTCATTGAAGAGTTCTTCTTCTACTTCTATAAATAGCGCCGCCTTCTTTTAATCAACATCTGCGTCAAAATATTTACAGCAGAAGTGGTGGTTTGTAGAACTTCTAATGGGCGATTCATCCAATGATCAACCACCTCCTTAAACGACCATCTTTGTAAAATGGAAAAATGATATTAACAACCTTAATACAAACTCGATTTTTTTTTTTAGATTCCACCTCTCTCCAGAAGAGGCCAGGATAATTCATATTCCAGGCCGTTTCTTATGGAAGGTTCTACTCTATCTGTACATGTTTGTATTGATAATAGCTTGTATTGATAATAGCATTTAGGTGATAATAGAAAGCGTATGAAAAAGTTCCCTTTTATTGAATCAGTAAATATAATTCAGCGAGTAGGTTTGATTAGCCATCTGATAACCCCTCACGCCAACTGAGTAATGGAGTCGAACCCACCTGAGGTACTTTTAAACGAAATTGATGCTATAACGGCATTTGAAAATTATCCCGCATGTGTTTCTTTAGAACGAAAAATCGAAATTTATTTTAAGGAGAAATAACGATTATTTCTAACCTCAGTGATGAAGTATGAGAGTATGAATTGTGAACAGTAAGGATTAGCGGAAAAATAAAGTGTCCAGGGATGGGAATCGAACCCAGAGTGTTCCGCTTACCGGGCAGATGCCATTTCCACTAGGCTAAATTCCGTTCTACACTCAGAAGCCGCACTATATTGTATTATAAAATTGATTCTATATATTCCTGCACGGAACAATATAATCTAGCCAGTATGAATAACTAAACATAACCCTAGGAAATTATAAGGACATATGACAACCGGTATATAGCGGATAGGTAGGAGGAATGCTTATATAGAAAAAATTGCAACCTTTTCTCGCCCATACAAGGTGTGTCCAATAAATAATGAGACTGGTCAAAAATAAATAAAAACTATATTGATTAAAAAGAAATTTATTAGTAATTTTCAAAATAGTCCCCTCCCGTATTTATACATAATTTCCATATATTCTCCCATGATTTAAAACATTTAGAAAAGGCATCTTTCGGGATGTTCTTCAAGACCTTTTTCGAATCCACTATGATGGACTTTATGGTGTCAAATCGCCTTCCTTTTAGAGCCATTTTGAGTTTTGGAAAGAGAGAAAAATCATTTGGAGCTAGGTCTGGGGAATAGGGAGGTTGTGTGGTTGTGTGTGTGTGTTGAAGTATTTGGATGCCGTGTTTAGCCAAATAAGTCAGTACAGATGTAGCGGTGTGTGGTGGTGCATTATCATGATGGATAATCCAATTTTTGGAACTCCACATTTCACTTCTTTTCAGACGAATTGATTCAAGTACACGTCTCATAATGTTTGAATAAGACTCCTTATTGATTGTTTGAACTTCCTCTAGATATTCATAATGCACAATTCCCTTTATGTCAAAGAACGTGACCAATAAGACTTTGTTTTTTGACTTGCAAAGTCGGGATTTCTTCGTTCTTGGTTCCGGGTCATACCCGTAAACCCATGTCCCGTCTCCAGTTATTACTTTTTCCTTCGAATTAAGGTTTTCTTCCACCATTTCAAGCATTTTTTTAGCAACTTCAACGCGATTCTCCATTTGTTGGATTGTGAGCATTTTATGGACAAATTTTGAAGGTGTCTTCTTTAACTGCAAGTCTTCTTTAATTATCGATCCAACTAATTATTTTGATATCCCTGTTTCTTCCTCAATGTCCCGTAACCCTATTCGTGGATTTTCTTTCATCAAATTTGAAATTTGGCTCATCTTTTCAGGGTTCCTGTGCAAAATTGGACGTCCAACACGCTTCTCATATTTCACCGATTCCATTCCATTTTTAAATCGTGAAAATCATCTAAATGTGATGGGCTTATTTACATTTTCATTTCCAAATGCCAATATTTCAACAAATCCAAAGTTTCTGAAGCCGATTTCCCAATTTTGTAGCAATATCAATACAAATTTATTGTTCGAATTTTCTATCCATTACAAATTAGAAGTTGTTATGCAAGGCGTTCTTTTTACAAGCATACAATTTATCGACTGCGCGCGCAATCACCTGATGTGATATACAGCAGTGTAGCTGAAGCTTTCTATTTTCTTAATAGACTTTTTAAAAATATATAATTTCATTTTTTCTTTGTTTTTGACCGGTCTCATTCTTTATTGGACACACCTTGTATTATTAAAAATTTCACTATATTTACAGCGTATCTACCGTGAGAGACCAGCTAAAAAGTAGGGAACTCTTGTCTGGGAGTGTTCTATCCACGGAATGTTAGATCATGTATTATATGATGGTCGCTCAGGGAGGTAGTCACTCAACACATTGGCCTCTCTAGAGAGCTCTTTGATGACATTACAAAAGTGAAGGAGTTTCAGCCAAGCTAATTTAACTCTTGGATGTGAAGGCTCAACAACAAGGTACATATTTGTGGAAGCTCTGCTGTTTTTCCTGTTACTTAAACAAGAGGTTTAATTGACGAGCTAACAGAGACGATCTCTTCAATATTTTATCTCTCGCGACATGTCAATATTTGGTTTCCGCCTAATATAGAATTCTCTGATGTTTCTAGACGTCGGTTCTATATGGTTCTTTGAAATTGATGTTGCCATCAATAAAATATCAAATAAACTCCCATTTATTTAATCGTATTTTATTTATTTCCTTTAATCTAATGTTTTATATAGACTGTAAATGAAGACACGTACTATTTTATTTAAGAATTGAAACGTATTTTTCATTTATAGTACGTTGTTTGAAGTATTATTGTAGGGGATTTATACATTTTGATGGAATGGTTAAAGCAGAATTCTAGTAATTAGAGTGTTATACATCTCCGAAGTGTTAGCGACCCACTCCCTGAGTCACAGTCTTTGTAAGATTAACACTGAAGTGAAGTAAAACCCAATATCTAATTTCACATTACCAGATGACTTAATGTTACAATCCTAACAAACCTTTGAGTAATTTCAGAAACCTATGAATCCCACTTATCAATGACACTATAACGAAGTCTGTATACAGTAAAACCTTCCAAGAGTGGTATTTCCCACGAGAAATCACTTTCATTAAACTACTAATGATTTTCCTATAGATATAACACTGAGAATAATACCTACAGAAGATACCACCCGAAATAATCCTTGTTTTGACCATTGTGTGCCTATCGTGGTTTCCTACAATCACCACACATAGAGACTTTATAATAATTAAAAACTATATGAGATGTAATATCTATGAATATATTTCCTAAAATGGTATTTGTAGCCTATATGATATTATGTACCTTTAGTTAGAATCTATAAAAATGAATGTCAACTCTTGAGTTAAATAGACGCTAAAACTAAGCATCATCTATTGCCGTTTCCGCAAATTAACGGACTGGGGTCGGTGACAAATCTACAACATCATCTTTGGCCAACTGATAAGACCGGACAGAACAACATGGTAATAGCCTACATAAATTCAGGGATGATGCTGTGGTTTTGTTTACATTATAACTAGTTGTTTGTGAAGACGGTTAATAGATTACACTTAGTTTAACTCCGAAGATAATTTGTTGATTGGGAGTTGATTCAGAACAAATATAGCCACAGCAACCAATGATTTGTTGATTGGGAGTTGATTCAGAACAAATATAGCCACAGCAACCTATGATTTGTTGATTGGGAGTTGATTCAGAACAAATATAGCCACAGCAACCAATGATTTGTTCAACTCCCGACGTTTCAGTGACCTGCTGTCACTCCCCTAAGGGAAATGGTAATTTTGAATCCTAGTTATATTATATACGTACATGATTTTCTAAAATAAATGTAAATTATCTCACGTATTTGCATATATATATATATATATATAAAGAGACAAGGGTCGCCTCTCCCGTAAAAATAGACGTCTAAAACCAGACAAGAGGCGACCATAGTCTCTTTATATGAATTTCCTCCCGGTAAAATTTCCATCTATATATATATATATATATATATATATAATAAATAAGAGCCTAAAATAAAAGAGACCTTTGCATATTAAAATATTAGAAATATAAAATTAGTTTTTAATATTAGTTTTAACGTTATATTTTGATGAGAAAAGTCCCTTCGTTTTATAAATGAATATTTTCCCGAAAAAAATTTGATCTATATTACAGTTGGAATGTTATTTCTCCTAAACGATGGAGAACTATATCGAGTCGAGGAGAGCTCTCCAACTTTGACATTTGTCCACAACCTAGCATGTTGCAGAAGAACGCTAATATAGAAATATTTTCGCTGTCGGTTTGTGTGAAATGATAATAGTTTAATAATATTTATATACACTAAAATATAGAAAGCTTTGATTTAGGATATACTGTATATAGCAATACCTTTTTAAAACTGATTTTAAGGAATCACAAAAAAATCTGCATATTTTATACCATTTTAAATTTTGAACGACAACAGTTCGACTAACAAAAGACCCATTGTGTTTTATTGATGAAATGAGGGCAATCAATATCGGATTTATTTTTTAAAAATTAATTCAGGACTAATTGGGGGGGGCACAGGGAAAATATTATTTTAACGGATGATTGCTGCATCATAAATATTACAATTAAAAGTGTGTCATAACAATTATTACAGCTATATAAACTAATACAAAGTTTATAACCCGAACGAGATATCATCTACATAATATTACTATAGTCTTAGAAGTCGAATTATATTGCTTCATTGAATTAGATAATATCGATGGGTTTTCTTATTAATTTTACAAAGTAGCCGCTTTCACCATTAATTGAAAGTTTACTTTGTTCCAAAAACGTATTCAAAATCTTATAAACCTATCAAAAATATTCTAGAGAATACAAAAATCGTAAAATCACCAAAATCAAATATATAACCACATTTAAAAGAAAGTAAATTTGTCAGAGAGCGTTGTCAAATGAGATGATGTAATAGAAGTGATAATTCAATGGCCAACATGTAAATAAGATTCCGGTGCAATAAAAGCGGGAAAGAAAAGGATCCTAAAAAGACAGCAATGTCGTAAACAAATCCTTTCCAGCGTGGCAGATTGCTTAAGCTTACAGCCTTAAATCCAGGAGAAAATAAACCTTGCTTACATACATACGTTCCGAGAAAAAAAAACATGAAAAATTGAGGAAAATATAGAAAGAAAGAAAAGGTTACCTTTATATTTCTTTTATTCTTTACGCTGCCCTTTATTTTGGGGAGGTTTTCGCTCCCATGGGATTCCGCGACTTGGTCTTGAAATGCAATTTTAACAATCCCATTTTCTGCCTTGTAATTTGTGTAAATTCAACACATGACGGAGGAACGCGACAATAAAAAAGATGGCCTCAGATATTTGGCTGAAGGATATGTGGGGGAGAAAATGAGTTCTCTTGGTGAAACCATTTGAAAGAAAAACTTGGTCAAGTCAAGTTGATATGGTTGCTTATATTTATTTAACAAATATGTATATAAATATTAATAAATGTTACTTTAAAATGTAGTTTTTGTATTTATATTTGTTTTATATTTTGAAGAAATACTATAACGCATAATAAAATAGAGCCTCACTTTAGAGACCCTTTTATTGACCGACCACCTTTGTATATTTCAAAATGACTTCGCCTCATTTCCCAACAATTATTTAAGCTGTTACATGTTCTAAAGAGGAAATCAGCTTGAATCGGTGTCTGTGAAG